CGGGGGCTGCTCGGACCACCGAGGGTCCCACTCGCAGCCGAGAGCGGCCCTGGGGCACAGCAGCGGGGACGTGTCACAGCCGAGGTGTCACCCAGCTCCTGCGAGTCAGCAGGCGCTGAATTCCGTGGGAAGAGCACACGAGGAGCCTCTGGAATTAGCCGTGCCTCCAGGTTAATTAACCGGCATTAATTAGGTGCTAGCTGATGTTGGGAACAGAATCCAAGTCCCCATTTCAGCCCCCAGATGATGCGGCACTGGAGGGGGGACCCTGCTGTGACCCCTCTGCTGCTCCCCACCAGCCATGGGGTGTGGTGGCTCTGTGGGGGGCTGGAGCTGGGCTGGGGGGCACTGGGCTCGGGGGGCAGATCCCAGCAGCCATGGACAGCTCTGCCAGCACCCGGCCGTGCTGGGGCCAGGGCTGTGTGTCCCTCACTGTCTGTCTGTCTGTCCCACGTATTCATCTGTCACCCGCCCAGGTGTGCTGGGGACTCCCAGGAGCATCAGCGGGCTCCCCACATTTATGTAATCCTGGTCCCAGGAGTTGGGTTGATGGACTGATGGTTTTTCTCTGCTCATCCATGCAGCTGGATGAAGAGGGGAGTGAATCAGGTGTGAGGGGCTCTGGCAGCCTCTGCCACCACCCCCCTGCCACCCACGGGCACATGAGACCCCCCAGTTGAGGAGATCCTTCCTGGACAAGTGACAGGTGCCCAAAGGAGAACCAAAAAGCCTCTGCCTGAGCCAGGGGACAGCCCTACCCTGCCAAACCCACGCCATTCCAACTCTTTCCCAAGCCTGGATGATGACAATTCCCAGCACGGTGTCTGTGCCACGCTCCGTGCTGCATCCCAGGGAAATGCCTGTGGTGCTTCCCTTTCATCTCCTGCCTGGCAGCAGATTAAAATTTCATCATTCCAGTGCTGGAGAAGGAGCAGGGGAGGGGTGGGAGCCCCGGGACGGAGAGGGGGGTTCAGCTCCTCACTGGAGCAGCCAGCACTGAGCTTGGGACCCCCAAATCCAGCCACACGTGGCTAAAGGAGCAGGATTTGGGCACAGCCATGCAGGGATGGTTGGGCAGAAGGAGCAGGATTTGGGCACAGCCATGCAGGGATGGTTGGGATGGAGGAGCAGGATTTGGGCACAGCCATGCAGGGATGGTTGGGATGGAGGAGCAGGATTTGGGCACAGCCATGCAGGGATGGTTGGGATGAAGGAGCAGGATTTGGGCACAGCCATGCAGGGATGGTTGGGCAGAAGGAGCAGGATTTGGGCACAGCCATGCAGGGATGGTTGGGTTGGAGGAGCAGGATTTGGGCACAGCCATGCAGGGATGGTTGGGATGGAGGAGCAGGATTTGGGCACAGCCATGCAGGGATGGTTGGGATGGAGGAGCAGGATTTGGGCACAGCCGTGCAGGGATGGTTGGGATGGAGGAGCAGGAATTGGGCACAGCCGTGCAGGGATGGTTGGGGCAGAGGGAGCAGGATTTGGGCACAGCCATGCAGGGATGGTTGGGATGGAGGAGCAGGATTTGGGCACAGCCATGCAGGGATGGTTGGGCTGAAGGAGCAGGATTTGGGCACAGCCATGCAGGGATGGTTGGGATGGAGGAGCAGGATTTGGGCACAGCCATGCAGGGATGGTTGGGATGGAGGGAGCAGGATTTGGGCACAGCCATGCAGGGATGGTTGGGCAGAAGGAGCAGGATTTGGGCACAGCCCTGAAGGGAGTTGGCTGCAGGCTGAGCTGTTGCTTCCCTGGGCCTTCCTTTGCCAGAACAGGAGGCTGAGCAGGAGACACTGCAGGGCTCAGGCTCCTGGTGGAGCTCCCTCCATGGCCTGCACACCTGGAGCCGCATCACAAACCCCGAGTTCTGATACCGGTGATGCCAGAACAGCTCCAGGAAGGCAAAGCCGAGGTCCCAGCAGGATGTGCCTCCATGCCAGCAGCAGCAGCAGCGCTTCCCAGTCTCCACAGAGGGAATTCCCAGTCCTCAGCAGTGAGATGGAAGGGCTGGCACACAAAACCAAGGATTCCCAGCCTGGCTGGGCCCCATCCTGGGCCCACAGGGATCCAAGGCTGGGTCTCAACACATGGAACGGGCAGGGTTTTGCCCCAGTGGCTCCTGGCAGATGTGAACAAGGCTGGTCCCTGTCATTCCACTGCCTCCCAGACTCCCACAGGAGGGTTTTGGATGCGTCCTGGTATTTTTCCAGAGGCTGAACACAGCTAACACCACAATTCCTCGGCTTTTGCCTTTCCCCCTTTCCAAATATAGGAGGAGCGTTGCTCTTTTCCAGCCCCATGACATCTGCCATGCTCAGCGGGTGCTCTGGGATGTCACCACTGCACTGAGGTCCCCTCCAGGGGCTCGGGTCCCAGCCACCCCCGGGCTCCATGGGACCCGTGCTCGTCCTTTCCCTGTCCCCTCTCCTTTCCCACCACTGGGCAAAGCTTTTGGGCTGTCCTGGTCCCCTCTGGGCTCCCCGTGCAGTGCGGAGCCTCCTCCACCTCCCCAGCCCATCACTATTCCAGTCACACGACGCCCGTCACGCGTCCCCCGTCTGCCAATTAAGTCACGGCTCTAATTACGCACTCAGGCTCTGCAGACGCTCCCGGCACCAGACGGACACCTGGGAAGCCGCCAGCTGTCCCACCCCTCACACCCAGCCCTGTCCCACCTCACCCTCGCTGCGCTGGGCTCTACCAGGAGCCGAGCACCGAGCTCACATCCCCGCCACACCAAAAAATCGTCCCCACATCGGTGCTGTGGTGTGGGGGGATTTCTGTGCAGCCCACGGGGGAAAAGGCTGCGCGCAGAGATGCTCTGGATGTCCCTCAGGAGGGACAGTCTCAGCCCTGGGGGGTGATGGTGACACAAAGGGGTGTTGGCAGATCTGGGGGACTCTGCTGCTGCTCCCCAGGTGCCCCTGGAGCAGCTCGGTCACTCCCTGTGACACCCCCAAACCTTGGGGGTTCCCTGCACCCCATTTCAGACCCCAGCCGCAGCTCATCACCTGCCCTGGGCACCCACTGGGAGCTTCTCAGGGGCCTTGGTCTCCCCCAAATCCCGGTGCTGGGTGTGGGGTCCTGGCCGGGGGGTGCTGGGTGGGGAGCAGGGGATGCTGAGGGAGATGTGGGGTGCAGGGGGTGCGGGATACGGGGAATGCAGGGGATGGAGGGTGTGGAATGAGCAGGGAGTTCAAGGGGTGCAAAGGGACACAGGGGGTTCAGGG